TTCCCAGCCACTGGCCTGACTGTGTAGTTTTCCTGGACTGCATTCCCGATGGACTTAGGAACTGCTTACTCATCGAGTTGCAACAGGATTCTGATTACGAAGTTCTCTTTTTAGACAACAGATCCAACACCAAAAAGGGAAAAACCCCTTTGACAAGCCATTTGTCCAATACTCAAAAAATTTTATCTCCAAAATGTGATTTATTCCAAAGAACGAACTGCTTCATGTTAGATTCCCAATGTATAACACAATTCTCTTTCCAGTGTTCACGGAGGCGACCCTTGGCGCTGCTCCTGCAGCCGAATCGCCACCAGCAGTCGGGGGGAGAGAACCCACGTAATCCCAGCCTTCTGGGGCACCGCCATTAGCGCACACGGAGGGACGGCGTCATCATACAAGTGTGTATGACTGTGGCCACCATATTCCTGGTGGACTCCTGACAGCCATGTATGTCTATGTGGCCCACACTGACCACCACCTTCTCTCGGCCTTGGCTGCCACCACTGCCTCCTGCCCCTCTGAGACTTTAAAAGACAGACTACAATGAGGGCCAAGCAGGCAGCTGGTGCCGGGAGGGCCTAGGGTGGGCGGGGTATGAGTTGGGGGGCAGGGCCTCAGGGAGTCCTCCAGGTGGGGAGGGTGGCGTTCACCAAGCTAACGTAGATTCAGAATTGGCTGCGTGGGAGGAGACGCAGCACAGGGACAATGGCAGCTGTCCCTCCAGCCCTCACCCTGCAGCCACGCAGCTCTGTTCCTCCCTTTGTGTTCCTTCCCCCACCCCCAGCTGCCGTCCCTGCGCTGGAACCCGGGCGAGTTCCTGCCAGCGAGTGTGTGCGCCTGGCCTTTGAAGAGGACGCTTGGGTTTCCGGCCCCCCTGGACAGACAAAATCCCTACTGGTTTTCACAGCCAGATGTGGTGGGGGCCCCTCTTCCCAGCTTTGGGCGGGGGAGCCCGGTGTGGGGCTGGAAGCCCTTTGTCCTTGAGGGGGTATAACGGGGCACAGCCAGGGCCCCCCCACAGAGGGTATTTGTAACAGGGTCCAGAGATTGGGGTGTCCAAGAAAAATATACTCTCACCACCGCAGGGCAGGCCGCATTAAGGATGGGAGCCTTGAGCAGGGCCACAGAGAGTCATTTTGCATGTCAATAACATGATAGCTTCATTCCTCATATGCAAAGAGGGTTATTTTGCATATCACCAAAGCTAATCAGGAAGGTTTAAAAGACTTAATACAGAATGTAACTGGGGAGGAGGAGGAGAGACAGGGTCCTCCAGGAGATACAAAGAGACACAGACTCTGGGGAACAGTGTGAAGACCACACAGGAAGAAAGAGGGGAGAAAGGACTCTTGCTGGTGGGCCATGAGAAGGTGCCACTAGGTTATGGATCAAGAGCTGGAGATCGTGGCGACGCGGCGAATGGTGCTGAGAACTGCGAGGGGCCTGTCTAGCCGAGCCCCAAACTTCTGTCCTTTTTCTCCTGAAGGATGGTACCCCTGACAGGCCTGACTGGCCTAACTGGACAAAGCAGGGAAAGGCGGGACTGTGTGTTTTGGTGGGCATTTTAAAGGGATTTTGAGGTTTAAGGGTGACATTTAGCCATTAATCAAACCTGTATAACTTTTGAAAATAAATAGTTCCTTTCCTCTTCACCAAACTCTGCCATTCAGAGCCATAATTCCAAGGGCGGCGGGCAAAGGACCTACCACCGAGGGACCCCGGGAAACGGGGGTGTCGTTTCGGTAATAGCATCTGGGCACCGCCCCCGCCCCCCACAGCGGGTCCATTTGGTCAGTAACGGGGGGACCTCTGCAGCTGAGAGGGCCTCCTCGGTTCTCAGCCTCCTCACTTGAGTGGGGGCCGGCCCACCTCACAGCTCTGCCCCTCCTGCCTGTCTCCATGTGGCTTTTTTTTTTATATCCTTAGTTATAGGACTTCAGTTTGGCTAGTCTTCGTATTGTTCTCCAGACTGGTTGTTCTATCTTTTAGTTTTTTTGATGTGGTTGTGGGAGCAAGCAAACACAACTTTCACCTACTCTGCCATCTTGATCAGAACTCCACGATAATTCCCTCAAACTCAAAATATCCCCAAAGGTTTGGACATTTCTCATGCCAACATTTACTGGGCGCCGTACTGTGGGGTTCCAAAGAAGCCCAGCACAAACCTCGCTGTGGACCCACACCTGGTGCAGGTGCGAGCAAGGGGTTCATGTCCAGCCGGCTCCCCACTTCACGCTGAATGAACTTGGGTGAGCTCTCAACTGCAGGCCTCCTTGCTTTAGGTATCAGGACAGGACCTTATTTGCACTGTTCTTAGAAAATCCTCATGGCAGGTAAGGATTGAGATAATAACTCAGGGAATGAAAAAGACTGAGTTGCTGCTTTTAAATTTATTATTTTGATTGGATTACTTACTGAAAGTCTAAACAAAATCTTTGCTGGTTAAATAAAAGACTGAACTCTCTTTAGTTCCGAAAGAGAAAGGGCACTTGCTCCCCCAACCTGAATAGCCAATAGGGTCAATGGTAGTCATTCAGACCCCGAATCCCAAGTGGCTGCGAGGGGAGCGGAAGGTGTCCGTTGCACGGTAATGCAGCTGACCTCAAGGAGCTGGCAGGAGCCCCAGGGAGAGGGCAGGGGTCCTGGGCCGGGTGTGCCCGAGAGAGGGGCCCGAGAGAGGGGCTTGAGCCTTGGAAAGCACTGGGTCTGGCTGGCCCTTGTTCCCCTGTTCTCGGGTGACGAGGACCCTCCTGGGGTTCCCTAGGGCGAACTCCCCCTGGAGTGTGCAGCGGAGCCATGGGGATGCGCCAGCCCTGGCTCGCCTGGAGACGCGCTCGTAATCGCCGGCTTTCCCTAGGAGTTTGTTCAGACTACAGATCTCAGAGTTAAGGAGGGAAACCGTGCCTCCCAGCCTAAAGAGGCCCACCAGTCAGCCCCCTCACCCACCCCTCCGCCCCCCGTCACTGCTAAGATGGCCGGGATGAAACTCCTTTGATACTTTTAGTTTTGCATGCACAACGAGAAAGAGCAGGCTATAAAATTAGGCAGAATAAATGGAAAACATATTTGATTGGTCTCTTGAACTTCAAAAAGAAGTTTTAAATAAATAAATCAACCTAGGATATCATTTCGGTGTCAACCCGACTCTGAGGTATTTCCTTGTTAAAAATGGCTGTCCTTACTGAAAAGGGGGAAGGTCTCTCGGAACTCAACTTGCCAAGGACAGATGTAAATTGCAAATGCCTCTAAAAAAATGGATCGAACTATTCTGTTTGTGACACATATATTGTAAATGTGAGAATTTTCTACCTCCAGATGGTATTGTTAAAATTAACTTAAAGGCAAGCACTTGTAAGAATGGGGTATTCTAAAATCCTCAGAAATATAGAAACTAACTCAGTTGCTTTTCAAATTCATGTAACTTTAAATTAATCCTTAGTAAATAAAAGCTAGTTTAAGTTGTTGGTTTAAGAACAACTGAAATGTCTTTATTTTGCCTAGGGTTTTATAAAAATAAGACCATGTTAATAATGGAGTTTTTATGTATATGAAAAAAGCTCCTAGAGATTTTATGAAATGTCCAAGCTAAAGACTGCTAATTGATTTTCTTAATTTTCATTACACATCAAGGTTTTTCAGGTTAAAATTTCAATATATGTAAAAAACTCTGCAGCCCAGGTGAACGTGGCTCAGTTGATTGGGTGTCATCCTGCAAATGAAAAGATCACCATCTGATTCCCAGTGGGGGCCGTGCCTGGGCTGCACGCAGGGCTGGCCCTGTATGCAGAAGGAAGCAGTCGATGTTTCTCTCCCTCCCTTTCCCCTCTCTAAAATCAAAAAGAGGAAGGGGGAGGGAAATGATGGTGGAAGAAGGGGAAGGGACTAGACAAAGAACATGTGTGAATGGCCCACAGACATGGACAACAGTGTGGGGACTGACTGTGGGAGCGGGGGTTGGGATGGGCGGAGGAGGACAAAGGTAGAAAAACTGGGACAACTGTAATAGAATAACAATAAAAAATGATTAATAAAAAAATTAAAAATAACTCTCCAGTGTCTCAGAAGGGCCCCGGAACAGCCCAGGAGGCCTGGAACCGCACGGGAAGCGCTGTGAGACGAACGGTTGCCCATCTAGGGCGCACTGCACGGGCCACGGGCTGTGCGTGGAATGGACAGTCAGGGCTACGGGAAGCCCAGGACGGCTGCCTGGCTCTTCCGGCTCCCGGGCTTGTTTGTCTGTGTGTCTGTATCCGGGCCAGCGCGCTGCGTTCTTAATGTGCATGGAGGCCTCCTGAGCTGACGGCGAGTGCCTACCCCCAGGTGGCCCAGTGCAGGTGGTTACCGCTTAGCCTACGGCTGCAACTGGGCCTTCCATCCTCCAACACCCCCATCCCCCAGGGGAGTTTAGCAATGGTGGTTTGCACTCCATAGCTCCAAGACTTCCCAGGTGATTTTCGAAGGCCAGGGGGACGGGTGCATTCACAAGGCCTCGTTTCTGAGACATGGCCACACAAAACCTCCTTGATACATACCAGGTCTGCCACTGAAAGCCCACGCCTTTTTGAAGTCGAGAACAGACCCAAACAGAAGATAAACAGGGCCTGCCAGGACCCCAGCCTCGCCTCTCTGGGCAGCCTCTTTTGTGCTGCCTTGGGCTTCACAGCCCTTCTTCCAAAGTAGGGAAAGGCCTGACCTCTCCCCCCAGTTAGTTCTTCACACCCCTTACTTCTCTCTGTGGGGTGCCCACCACTCTGGAAAAATGGGGTGCTGCTTCCCAGCAGGGCCTTGGCCCGCAGCTTTGCCCCTCCTGACCTCTGCCGGCCCGGGCCAGTCCAGACCTGCCACGATACCAGGCCCTTGACAGGGAGCAGGCTGATCGAGGCCATTGGGCTCCTTTTTGTTTTCTGAGCATCTCCAGTGCCCGAGATCTGACCCCAAATGACTATTAACAAATGTCGTCTTCTGTTGAATAATAATCTAAGGCACAAGGAAAGCGATGTTTAACATACTCATGTATTTTAAATAATTCAGATAGCAATAATCCTTAAGCACTCAGTACATGGGTTTCTATCTTTAAAAAAAACCCAGCAAGTAGAATATCAAAGCCATAGATGAAGGTAGTCAGTACACAATGTCTTTGTCTGAGACAGTGGTGGATGCATTATTACTCTAATGTAATCTTGCAGACATTGTCTTGGACTAGAACATAGTTTTTCACCTTAGTTCATTTTCTTCATTAGAAAATCCATCTTTGAACTCTCAGTTCTTGAAATCCATGGGCACAGTTGGATTACCTTAACTGAAGACAAACTCCCACCTTCGGGCCTATGAATTATTTGCTCGTGAGCGTGACAATGCCACCGGGCCGGCCTCCCCCTCTTCTCCCAGGGCCACGTCACTGCGTTCCGACACACACTCTCACCAAGATCCCCGCCAGCAAGACTAAAACTGCCCCTAGGAGCACGAGCCCCCGCCACAGCACCAACTGTCTCCCAGTCAACTTTGCCACATCCTTCGGATGGGCCTGAAGGCATTCTTCTTGGTGCATCTGCTGATCCAACTGGGTCTCATCTTCTTTTTCAACATCTGTCATTAAACTTTCTCCATGGCTTTCAGGGCCCGCTGAGGGGAAAAGGAACTGAGTTAGCAGCTTAAAAGGACTTTTTCCATCAGTATGAAAGATGTATAAAGGTGATGGGCATTGTGTGTTACTGGCTGGGAGGAAGCTTGCTCAGGAGCAGGTGCCGCACTGGGAGCTCTGTCTCAGAGGCCTCCCGCGTCCTCCCTCACAGGCACGCGGCCCTTCTGCTGGCTGGGGGCCACCGGGGGCCACCAGGGGCCACCGGGAGCCACTGGGAGCCGCCAGGAGCCTGCCCGTGGCAAGACCTAGAGACTTGTGGCAGCTCGCTCAGTTACAATTCACAGGCAAAATGTTCAAAGGGCCAACACCTGTATAATCGTTTCAGAAAGAGAACAAGGTCAACAGAAAAGAAAAATAATTCTAGGCCATTCACAGGACTGAAGACAGGTGTGAATACTTTCTCTGGAAGGCCTGCTAAGCACCCGGCAAGACAGTGACTCAGACTCCTGGATTGAGTCTCATGACACTTCAGAATAGCAAGAATAAGAAAAATATCCTAAAAGCTTCCCAAGAGAAAAATAAGGGCAGATGACCAAACAGAACAAGAACGAGACTGCCGCTGACTTCTTAGTAAGCGCGAGTGGGGAGCAGGCATGCTGCAGTGCCCTCGGAGTTCTGGGAGAGGACGGTTGCTAACAGAATGACATCATCTCATGCTTACAAATGCTTACCCCGAGTCAGGCACTGCGCTCGCTCGGCGCTCACCATGTGAGCCCCCGGACCCTCTCGAAAGCAGGGTGAGGTAAGTACTATTCTTATCCTGGCTTTTTACAAGTGGTAGATGGTAGAAAACTGGGGCCCTAGTTGGTGTGGCTCAGTGGACTGAGTGCCAGCCTGCAAACCAAATGTGCCCCTTCCCGTGTAGGGTACATGTCTGGGTTGTGGGCCAGGTCCCCAGGAGGGGACACGAGATACAACCACACATTGATATTTCTCTCCCTCTCTTTCTCCCTCCCTTCTTCTCTCTAAAAATAAATGAATAAAATCTTTTCTTTTAAAGGGAAAATTGGCACCAGCCCATTCTCTGAAGATAATTATGAAAGCTGGATAAAATAAATGAAAAATGTCACCTTGAAGGTGCCAGAGCACTAACAGCATAATGAGTCAGTCACTGGGCAACGTCTAGGGCGGGTGGGAATCTGCGAGTTCTCCATCTGGACCGACCAGGGCTTGGGGAGCTCGGTGCCAACCCCACAAACCCCTCTGCGCTGCAGGCCAGAACTCCGAAGGGCCGCACCCAAGAACTAGCGGTGAACCAGGAGGAAACGAGCCCTTACACTGGTCACCTTTAGCTCAGCCGGGTGGTCCAGAAGCTTCCGTTTCTGAAACTGTTCTAGACTGCTAGTAAGCCCAGGTGCTGGACAGAAGCTAAGGCGTGTCCTCTTTGGAGACAGCCAGCATCACCTTAGGCCTCAAAGTACTTTGACAGACAGACAATTTTCAGATAGAAAAGTCTGGAACACAGTCGGAGGTAACCCGGCACAGGGGAGACTAGGCAACAGGAATGAGATCTGGCAGAAGTAACCGAACTGACCACTGACTGTAATTCAGCCAATCAGTGAACTCAGAAGGGCTTCCATCATAAACAGCAGCAGAGCAGTGTGAGCACGTGACAAAGTGCTTCAGGCACCGGGGACCTGGGGGATTACTAAACTGGCAGAAAATGATAAGCACATGTGCGTCATTGTTAGTCAGAAGCAACAGGCAAAAGTCAAAACATGATCTAAGTCCACGTTTGCCTGGTGAACACCATGGAAACAACATACAAATGTCAGCTTCCAAAGTGAGGCCCACAGCACAGCATCACCTCTCATCACGCGTGTCCCCAGAATGCCGCAGGAGCACCGCCAACAGCCGGGAGCTGGCCGCCTGCAGCCTCCAATCACCCGCAGCAGTACCCTAATGGCTGGAATCACAGCAGGCAAATCTCGAGTCTGTTTGCCTCAAATCGGGCACTTCTCAATCTTCTTGTTTCTGAAGCATTACTGCCCCATTTAAATGGGCGCTCACAGCAGCAAACCTAGTTGTGCCCACCGACGGCCCTCCAGGATCACCTGGAGAGGCAGCGACCTCATACCTGGGGAAAGGAAGCCCTGAGAGAGAAGAGTCCCATCCGGGGCCATGTTTCGTTTCATATTGGCATGGATCTGAGCCTACAAGATGAAATACACAGTAAGTCCACCAGGCTTTACCAGTGTTGTTCAAATATTTGACTTGACTCCCCAGTTTAGGGAAAGCCACTCCACGGTCTCTAACTGACATGGAACACTGGCGCTTCTCTTGGTCACAAGTATGGAATCATCTTCAGAATGATTGACAGGGCTCAGTGCGTGGGGAAGGCTGGATGGAAAAGCACAAGGTTGGGGGAAGGTGGGACCGAGATCACTTGGAGGTGTCCCTTCTTGTTCCTTCACCTTGTTTATCTCTCACCTACTTTTCAGACCCCACACTGGCCCTAGAAAGCTGAAAAGAAAGATGCACACAAGTATCTTAATGGCATATTTTAGGACCATAAAAAACAGTATCAGGATAAATTTGACGGCGTCCCATGTATCTCTCCAGTTCCAAATTTTGTCCTGAAATTGGCTTTTCAGGCAGAAGGGGGATGGATAAAGCAAGGGTCATCTGGCTTTTCACATCCGAATTAAATGCAGTTAAAACAATAACAATAAGGAAGTAGCCTTTCTGATACAAAGAAAATAGAACCTTCCAAGAAGGGGGGGTGCGGGGGGGGGAGGGGTAGAGATGGAGAGAGAGAGAGAGAGCTGATTTTGTTTGTTTTCCAGGAGGGGAACTTTTCCTGGGACAGCGACAAGCATAGTTACCTGTTGACAGGCTCTGTCCCAGTTCAGCCGAGCAATAAAGCCTAGAAAACACACAGCTTGGCAGGCTGTGCAAAGGATAATCCCTGCCCATAGACCTAGAAGTGGAAACATTTGGTAGAGGTTAATTCCGCAGGGAGCCAGCCGCCCTTGGGGAGTGGTTTCCCCTGTCTTACTGCTGGGCCTAAGCCGCAGACCTCCCCGCCCTCTCCTTTGGTTTTCAGAAGGTTCTGGGAGGCCCAGTGCTCCCCATTTCTTGGGGTTTTGAATCTCAGAACAAATGTTCAGAATCTTAATGTTTAGCTATTAAGAAAAGTGACAGTTATAAGGAAATAAAATTTCCAGAACAAACAACTTCCTATTTCTAATAGCACTCCCAAACTACTACACCCTATCTTCTCCAAAACTGGAATGAACACTTTAAAGAGGCAGAAGTTGCCAGCTCTCTAAGGGACCAAAGCTCTCTCTCTGGGTGCTGCCTGCAGAATCTTAATCGCTTCAGGGGCAAACTTGAAGAGCTCCGGGGCAGGGTTACCTGCAGAGAGATGATGACACAAAAGGACAGGCTGAGTGGAAAGGGAGTATGGGAAGAGCCTTGTATGTCCCCAAGCACCAAACAAACTCTGCCACACAAACTCAGAGGGAGGCCCCAGGGATGGGAGGGATGGGAGTCAACTAATGACATTGGAAACTCTAACAGAAGCTGTGACAGAATAAATATACAAACAGAGGTCAAACCATATTTTAAAAAGAGAACTTTGCCCCACAGCCTAAAGCAACCTGCTCAGAAAGGAGACGCCTTACATGCAGTGGCACGACCCTGGACCTGCGCGCAGCAGCCTTGTGGGCGGCCAGGCTGCTCTTCTAGGGCTCAGCCCGGAAACTCAGGGCTGCTTTCTGCAGCAACTGACCCCGGGTGGCCTGGACTTGATCAGTAACTGACAGCTTCCCGTATTTTTGTTCCTGCTTCCCACTTAGGACCAGCCAGAGAAAACCACACCCCCTGAGCAGTCAGGAAGGGCTCCCAGCTTCTGTCTGGCACCCCACCCCCCCAGCTTCCCCAGGCCCACAGCCGCCCTCAGGGCCCACCTGAGCCTTCCCTTTGTCCCGCTGCTGCTGTAAGGCTCTCTTTTGCTCCTCTGCCTGCCTGTGAGTCTCGCCAGAACGCAAGCTCGGAACAAACGGCCTTTGCTTGGCCCATTTGGCTGGTCTTCACTGAATTCTGGATCTGGGTACACAGAAGGGACTATGCTGGGCCAATGGTTTACAGGTGGAGGTGCCTAAATTCAGTGCAAAGTTTTCACCTCTGCTCTTCGGTACCAACCTCTCTCAGATCACGTTTTCCAGGTGTGATTGGCCCGATATTTAGAATAGTCGGTGACTACTTGCCCTTCCCATAGTGGACGAGTCAAAGCACATACACATCAGATCCAGTGTTCCTGATCCACCAAAACTATAAGATCCCACTAGCCATCTTAAACAGAATATAACCAGCTACCTCTAGTTGTGACTTGAAAGTTGTGAAATCTAAAAAATAAGTAATGCCAGAAACTCAGTTAAATAACTTTCTGCACCAGGATGCAAGCCCAGTGAACTTTGCATTGGCAACTCCATTCTTTGTACATAACATGTATTTTTCATTAAAATATTATTGAACCTGAGAAAAAAATGTGCAACATAAGGGGCACTTTGGGCTGAAATTTCATTCTAGGTATCAGATGACTTCTTATCCCCTCTGAACCTGCCCAGTGCAGATGGATGAGAACAAACCATGCTTAAGTCAACCTCAACGTCGCCCAAAGATAATGTGTTCAGGCTTCATGTAATCATTGACTAATTGCCAATGCCTTCCAAATTATTATTTTAGAAATCAAAGCTGGGCAGTCAGTTCTTTCCCTACTTTTAAAAAAAGTTAGTCTGGTAATTTCACACCCTGCAGATTAAGTTCTTTCCCCACCACCCTGCCTCCTTCCGAGCTGCTCACACAGCACACCCGCGGCCTGCCGGGGAGACCCACAGGACACACGCCTTAAAGGGCAGCACCAGTCTGGAGACAGAGGCTGCAGGGTGGCGCTGAAGGCGACGTCGAGGGCGCAGCCCGGGGGCCATTCCCTGTGAGTCCTGCCAGATGCATCATAGGGCGGCGGCACCGCCCCAGGATGTTCGCAGCCACCGCAGGTGCTCCCGCCACTTCTGTAAGAACCACACCAAGGCCGACCTGCGGCTCCCCTGCCTCCGCCCAAACACTGCAGCGTGGCCGGCTTTTGACGGCCTCAGTCTCAGTCGGTCCTGCAGACTCCCTCTCAGGGCCCCTCCACACAGGGCTGCCCCCCAAGGCTGGCGCCGAAGCCACAGGGGGCGCATTTCCGAATGCTTCCGCAGCGGCCCCTGCTGCCAGGGACTTCGCCGGGAGCACTCGATGCCGTGGGACGGGGGCCGAGCAGAAAGGCCACGCTGCTCCGCTGCAGTGGGTGCGTGTGGGAGGTAGCCCGCCAGGGCAGGAGGACGTGGGCTTGCAGCCCTGGGCCTCGGGCTCCCTCCTGCCCCTGCCCGTCCCCGCCGCTCTGACGGGCACGCGATGGAGGTGGAGAAGCCCTACAGCGCCCGCCGCTCAGTGAAAGCCTTCCTGCTGAGAGTCGCTTCGGGCGTGAGGAACCCGGGGTTAAAGCTTACCGATCACTCCCAGTTTGGTCGTAAACATCAGTGAAATCCCGATGGGGAGACCAATCACATAGTACCCAATGGCGTTAAAGATGGCTCCAACTTTCTGGTTCCCACTTCCCCTCAGAATGCCACCACCTGTACACTGCGGGCAGAGAACAGGCACCAGCGTGAACAGCGCGATGCCTGGGAAAGGCGCCCAGTCCCCGAGCTGTCCCATCTGTGCCAGTGTTCTTATAAAGCAAACAGAAAATGTTCAGTGTTGCCTACCCACCCCCACTTCTCTGTTTCAATTCGCCATCATCAGAAGCAGCACATGGATTGTAAAGGTGCCTAAGGGACTACTGTGTAATACTTACAGCCAGACTTTCAAAGAGATGGGAAACGGCATAGATCGGAACCACTCGAGCCACGAGAGCAATGATGTCTCTGTCAGGAAGTAGAGCACACGGGGGTCAGGAGCAGAGGCCCGCAGAAGTGAACGTGAGGGTCCCCAGGGCTGGGCCTCGGCTTCTGGGCATTACAGGGGAGGCTCGCACAGGCCGCTCAGGGACCACCCTGCTGCTCCTGGGGCCTGTGGGGAAACCACTCTGCACTGCATCTCACGCCTCTGAGAAGAAACACATAATCCGTTTGGTCAGCAGAGACATTTAAATCCAACAGTCTGGCCCCGCGTGTGCCTTCCTGTTCATCTGAATGAAGCACAACAGAAGGAGGTTCTCTCTACAGAACCGAGGTTGGCCAGTTGTAAAGGCTGTGGGGAGCGTTTACAGAATTATCCTCGGTTCCTGGAAATGGGCCTTAACCTCTAAAGCCAGACGCTTGGGTTGAAGGCCCCTGGTCGGAGGGAGCCTAGAACAATGCTGCCCCTGACATGAGGAGGCAACAGGGTTACAAACCTTGAGCCGCTGACAGAAACTCGAATGCTGGCAACAAACATTTGTGGAATGGATGAATAAGTAAGAACCTAGCACTGAACAAGATGATGACAGCCCCCCGCCAATAAAGGACAGAAATACAGTTCTTTTCTTAAAAAAAAAAAAAAAAAAATTTATTTTGACTAGGTAACACGTGAAAATGGTTAAAAGATAAATATGAAAAAGAAGTCAAGAAAAACCTGTCTTCCACTCCTGTCCCCGTTTGATCCCCCCGCCACCAACCCCCCCACCCCCGCACCAAGGAACAACTCTTCTCACTGTCTGTGCTTGTTGAGCGTTTATGAAAAATAAGGAAATACAAATACATATTCTTATTTTCCCCTTTTAGATTCTATTATTTCATATCACAGCATTCTCTACATGATGTCCTGCACTTTTATTTTTCTACCTATTACATTCCACCTAGTATATTACATATAATTATATAATTAAATATTCCTTCCAAATATATTGTTTTTAATGTGCTCCTGAATTCTGTCCACTAATATTTTATTTTGGATTTTAAAATTCATATTAATAAGTGATATTGCTCTATGACTTTCTTTTTTATTGTGCTTTGTCAGAGTTTAGTATCAATGTCATATTTGCTTCATGAACAATGTGGAAATTGTCCTTTTCCTGTTTTCTGGAATAGTTCTGACAGCATTAGAATTACCTAAGTTTGAAAAGTTTTATAAAATCCTCCTTTAGAAACTTCTGGGATTGGTGCTTTTTGAAATTTTGAAATAATTTTTTTAATTCTAGTCAAGATGTTGGCACAGGTAATGTGGTCCTCTGCCTCTTCCCCAACCACATCAAAACTACAACTAAACTACAGAGCAACCACCATTCGGAACCACCTAAAGTCCAGCTGAACAGAAGTCCTGCAACTGGGGAATTAAAGAGGCCACATTGAGACTGGTAGGAGAGGCAGAGATGTGGAATGGGCTGGTCCTATACCTACATGTGGCAAATAAAAACAGGGAGGGATACCTTGGCTTCTGAGGTCCCCAGCCCATGGCCAGTGCCAGTGCCAGGAAGAGAAGTCCCCATAACTTCTGGCTGAAAAAACCAGCAGGGATTGAGGTTGAGGAAGACAAAGGGCTTCAGGAGTCCCAGGCAGTTTTGTTTTTTTTTTTTAAGATATCATTTATTTATTTTTAGAGGGAAGGGAAAGGAGGGAAATATCAATCAGTTGGCTCTCACACACCCCCAACTGGGGACCTGGCCTGCAACCCAGGCATGTGCCCTGACAGGGAATCGAACCTGCAAGCCACAGCAGCCAGGACCCAGGCAGTTTCTCTTGAAGGGCCCACACACAGACTCGCTCAGACTCGCTCCCTCTGAGCTCCTGCAATGGAGCAGTAGCTTGGCAGAGGCCACTGCTCCTTTGATGAGCCCTCCCTGCATGGAGCTGGCAGGCAGGCACCATATCACCTGGCTCAACTGTTCACCCCACCCTACCCATCTTGAGGGCCCACTCAAGCTGGTTCCAGTGGCTTTTCCATACAAATGGCCTATGTGGCTCATGCTTCAGATTTTCCTAAAATCTCTCAAACAAGGAGCATCTGGCTTCAGTGAGCCCCGTATCTCTCACTAAGTGGCCCCCAGCCCGGCACTAACAGCAGCCGGCCTTGGTTCACAGCTTGGCCTCACCAGGGCGCCTCCGCGCGCAGCACAATAGCAGCCATCTACAGATTGCTTTGTAGCTCATGCTGGGTGGCCCCGGGCAGAACACAGGTGGTGGCAGACCTTGACCTGTATCTCCCAGGAGGCTCTAGAGCCTGCACACCCAGAGGACAGCTTCAGGCCACGTCAAAGCATCACCACGGTGCCCCTGCACAAGCAACACGCTCAAGGTGGACTCAGTGGGCACCCGAGTCCCGCTGAAGGAAGTCCTGCTCTGTGGGGCGGGTCCTTGCACAGCTGATCCTCCACGGTGGTTGGAGGTCAGTGGTCGGCGGTCACAGCCAGTCCTTGAGGCTGCTCTGCATAGGGGTAAATCCCTCCCGCTGATGTGCCAACAGCAATCAAGGCTCAACTAACTACAAGAGAAGAGTGCATGCAGCCCACATGGGGCTCACAACTCGAGTGCCCAGTTTGGGGGATAGGGGAGCCTGTACCACTGGACCCTACAGAACACCGACTACATTAGGTCACTCTACCAAGCCTGGGAGATGTAGCAGTTCTACTAATACATAGAAACAAACACAGGGATGCTGGAAAATGAGGAGACAAAGAAACATGTCCCAAATGAAAGAACAGAACAAAACTCCAGAAAAAAGAACTAAACAAAGTGGAGACAAGCAATCTACCAGATGCAAAGTTCAAAACGCTGGTTGCTCAATGAACTTAGAAAGAACCTCAACAGCATAAAAAAGACCAACCAGAAATGAAGGATACACTAACTGAAAGTAAGAATAATTTAAAGGGAATCAACAGTAGAGTGGATGAAGCTGAGAATCGAATCAGCAATTTGAGATATAAGGAAGCAAAAAACACCCAATCAGGATAGCAAAAAAGAAATAAAAAATAAAAAGAATCCCCCCAAAGGAGGATAGTGTAAGAAGACTCTGGGACAACTTCAAGTATACCAACATTCACATTACGTGGGTACTAGAAGGAGGAGAGAAAGAAACTGAAAATTTATTTGAAAAAATAATGATAGGAAATTTCCCTAACTTGGTGATGAAAATAGACACAGAAGCCCAGGAAGCACAGAGAGTCCCAAACAAGATGAACCCAAAGAGGAACACACCAAGACACATCATAATTAAAGACAAAGAGAATCTTAAAAGAAGCAAGAGAAAAGCAGTTAGTTACCTACAATAACGCTGCCAGCTGATTCCTCAACAGAAACTTTGCAGGCCAGAAGAGACTGGAAAGAAATATTCAAAGTGATGAAAACCAAAGACCTACAACCTAGATTACTCTACCCAGCAAAGCTATCATTTAGAATTGAAGGACAGATAAAGAGCTTCCCAGACAAGAAAAAGCTGAAGAAGTTAGTTCATCACCACCAAACCAGTATTACCAGAAATGTTAAAGGAACTTTTTAGGAAGAAAAAAAAATAAAAAGATAACAATAATAAAATTCCTATAAATACATATGTATCAACAATTGAAACTAAAACAAAAGAAATGAACAAGCAGAATAGAAACAGACTCATAAATACAGAGAACATTCTGATGGTTGCCTGAGGGGAGGGTGCTTGGGGGTGTTGGATGAAAAAGGTGACGGGATTGAGAAGCACAGTGGGAAGTTACAGAACAGTCATGGGGACGTCATGGGGATGTAAAGTACAGCACAGGGAATACAGTGGGTAATACTTTAATAACTATGTGTGGCCCTGATAGGTGTGGCTCAGTTGGTTGGGCGTCATTCCCCAAGGCAAAGGGTCACCAGTTCGATTTCCAGTCAGAGGCCCCTGCCTGGGTTGCGGACTGGTCCCTGGTTGGGGTATGTGTGAGAGGCAACCAATTGATGCTTCTCTTGCCCATAGATGTTTCTCTACCTCTCTTTCTCTCTTCCTTTCTCTCTCTGAAAATAATAAAATCCTTAAAAAATTTAAAAAAAAAAAACCTGTATGGTGTCACATGGGTGCAAGACTTGTCAGGATGACCACTTCGTAAGTTATGTCTAATCACTGGGGTGTACAGCTGAACCTAATATAATAATGTATGTCAACTCTACTTGAAAGTGAAAAATGATAAACAAAAAAAGAGTTTTAAAGGTAAAATAATTTTTTCTTATTTCTTCTAAGGAAATCAGTCTTTTAAGACCTAGTATGTTTTCTAGGGTAAGTTCTGATAAATTATTTTCCTAGAAAATTACTTATTCCTTCCAGATTTTAAAATTTACTTGCAAAAGTTATGCAAACTAGCGTCTTGTGTTTTAAAAAAGTATTGCTTTGTGATTCCCCCTGTGCTTCATTTAGAGGTGCTCTCTGTTCCTGCTGGATCACGTTAGGCGTCTGTCATTGTCAGAATCCAGAACACAGTTCGCTGGTGAGTTTTTAACTTCAGTTCGGCTTGGCAAATATATTATGCAAATACTACAAACCAGGTACCCTGGCACATTCTGAGATTTCACAATGATTTTTGTCATTGGAATGAAATAGTTAACTGAAAATGTATCACTGGTACCAGAAAGCAGTTCCCTTCCTTAAAATACAGGAGTGCCCTCAGCACCAGAACGCACCTCCACCGCCCGTCCGCTGGTTGGCGCTCCAGGTTGCAGAGCAGTCCCCGCGCCGATCCGCTCTTCCCCGGGAACATCACTGAGTTCCCGATTTTGCACACGGCTCGGGAACCCCCCAAGACGCAGCCACCCCAGAAGGCAAACGTGGAAGCATCCGCCCAGCCATTTCTTTACCACAGATAACACATTTCAAGAAAATCGCAGCACTCACCGGTCGGTAGTGAAAATGTACCCCACTAGGTCCTTACAGCTTAACAGCAGGACACAAAAGACTACAGCGAAGAGTTCTGAAAGGGCAGAGAGACGGCACAGTGAGAAAGGACGTCTGCGGGCAACGCGGGGCCTGGGCTTCCGGGCGCGGCTGCGCAGGTGGGTCGCGGACCAAAAAGCTGAAGCACCTGTGACCAGCACGGAGACCACGGAGGACCTCTTGGCCTGCTCGATGTTTCCCGCGCCCAGCGCGTTCCCAATGCGGACGCTGGCAGCCACGCTGAAGCCGGCAGGTACCTAAGGGGCAAAGGAGGCAATGAGCGCGCGGAGCCGGAAAGCAGCCCGGGCGTCGCCGTGCACCTTCCCCAGAGAGGAGGCACCAGGTAAATCGGGCTTCACACCTCACCAGTGACACTTCGTCCTACAAATTATAAGAAGACTGATCTGCAAAACCTGTGCCTAGAGGGGAGCGCCCCCCCCCCGCCCCCAGGCTAACACAGAACCTGGAACCCGGGGCCGGGATCCTTGTCACAAACCCGGTTTCTCGGCAGAGCGTCCCGCCCGGGCCCTGCATAGCCAGCTCTCCCTCTGGGTGTGGAAGGACAGGCCGCCAGGAGCCCGAGATGGATCTGTCCCCCAAAGACCGTCAGGGAGCAAGTTTAGAAGACAGAACCCTAGTATGGTGACGCCACGCCCGAAAGTGTTGGATAGGGGGAACTTAAGAAAACTGCTCCGGCAGGTGTGGCTCAGTTGGTGGTGTGTCGTCCTACAAACCACAAGGCCGCCGGTTTGATTCCCTGTCAGGGTTACAGGTTCGGTCCCCAGCCAGGGCACGTAGGGAGGAAGGTAACCAGTCATAACCAATCGATATTTCTCTCTGATATTGATGTTTCTCTCCCCCTCTTTCTCCCTCCCTTCCTCTTGCTCTAAAATTTAAAAAATTAATTTAAAATTTAAAAAAAAGCAGAAAGGTGCACACCAGCTGATGAGAGTGCTACCTTTTGGTGAGGGCAGAGGCGGTGCTAAAGGAGATCCAGGTGAGCGGTGTGGCGCCGGGGTTAGCAGCGGAATTCGGAAGCCAGACCGTCTGGGTCAAATCCTAGTCCAGCCACCTACCAGCTGCAGCCCTGGCCAGCTGACTTACCCTCACCACACCTCAGTTCTTATCTGAGAAAGGGATCTCATAATAATAGTACATACATGCTAACTACTTAGAATAGTGCCTTACACATACTAGTGTTCAGTAAAGATCAGCCATTACTATTATCTAAAAATTTACTACTTGAGAAATTAGTGTTAAGAAAAAAGATTCATCACTTATTTAAACATGAATTTTGCCTTCTGATCAGGATTGCTAAAGGACAAAGCTATAGAAAATCTGAGTCTCCCAAAAAATTATTAATTGCAATGAAAAAGAGAGTAAATTGATAAATTGATGGTGGAGAAACCTGGCAGAAAGTGCTTTAACCAAGCAATCAGTTAATATCACCAAAAATGGGACAAATCTGTGAGTGACAAAATGGCAACTGATATTAGACCTTGGTCCAGAAACCTTAGTTCTTGAGTTCAGCTTGGAAAGAGTTTAGAGCCAAGGACTCAAATTATAAGAGAAAGTTTATTTATAAAGTCAAAGAGGTAGAAGAAGGGAGCCGTGGAAGGAGAGAGCCATCTGGGCTGCATGGGCTCAGGAAACAAATAACAGAGGCAAAAAAAAGAAAATGGAGGGGAGATCCTTGGAGCTTAGGAGAAAGGCAAAGGTAATGGTCTTGGGGGAAGTACAGACACGCTCCAGAGGGGGTGGGGGAAGGTGTGGACATGCCAGAGAGAGGAGAGAACATGAGATGAGTCCTTTGTTTTGACGGTTTCTATCTGGAGGTCCCAGCAGAGGAACTTTACATAACATTCATCAACTCTCCAGGTGTGTCCTTTCAGGGTCGTGGTCTCTGCTCATTGGCCAGTGCCAGGGCAGGGGCCATCAGTCATCGCAGCTGGCCCTGGTGTCTGCAGTGGCATTGATCTGCCTGGCCTTGCTGCTTTTCTGGGCCTGGAGCTGGATCACAGCTGAGGCCTGGATGTTAGCTCTAGGGCTCAGTGCTTAAGGGAGTGGTCGTGCCAGGGCTTGTGTGGTGGTTGAATGAGACTATTCTCCAGCTCTCTTGTGAGGCAAGAGACAGAATAGGAAATCCTGAGACACTGCAGCTGTCATCAGTCAGCATCCTGGCTTCTGAGAATCACCTGGTGACATTGGATAATAATTAGCACTGTGGCTTCCTCCCTAAGTGGATAATCAAGGATGATTTTGGGAAATCCCACGTGCAGAAGCTTAAGTAAAACCCTTATAAAGCCTGTAACTGTTCAATAAAAGAGGGCCATTCCCTGGCCAGAGGTGGCCCGCTCCCATGTCTTGGCAAGTGTACTTTCCTTACTAAGTGCCCCACTTGATTTGCTTTCCAGTATCTGTGTGGTCATTTCAGCTCTTTGTTCATGATTGCCAACAGCCCGGGCCCCACCGCCATCTGCAGCAGTTCGGCGAGCCAGCCTGGAGACCTGGGGAGATGCCGAAAGGGTGAGGCAACTCCTTGTCCCCCCGTTAGTAGTTGGAGGAGACTTGCGTTCTCTCTGTCTCCTTGATGACTTGAGTAACCCTGGCACCTCGAAGAGAGTTTGCTGCCTTTCTGCGGGCACAGGTCAGGCAGTCAAGAGCCAAAATGGCACCCGCTGATTAAAAGACTCCCATGTGACGATTACCTGGTTTGGGTCAGGGTTAGGGACTAGCATTCTGCCAGGCACAAGACAATATCCATGCAGTGAGGCTCACTGTAAAGCAACATTGTTCCTTCCCCCTCCTTCAGTAAGCCAACCATGTTCCTCCCAAGACATGCTTCACACATTGAATTTTGGTCCCTCTATTTGCACCTCTTCCCTGCCTGCCTTTTCTGTAATGTTTGCATTACACATGTTTGCATTTGCTGAACATAGGTCAAGGTCAGTGAGCATGTCAAAATCCCGTTGGAGGCCTTCCCAACCCAGATTAGATTTGTAAAATAGATAAACTAGAATGCTCCTCCCCCTCCTCAGAGGAATTAATTATGAGAAGCAGAGGACCCGAGAAAACTAGTTTGAGTTAATCAATTATAAGAAACAGCAAAAACTAGTTCAAGTTAATCAATTACAAGAAGCAGAGGAAACTGGTTCAAATTAACTGAAGCAGAGAAAATTAGTTTGAGTTAATCAATTATGAGGAGTGGAGGAAACAACCTTATTTTGTATACCTTTTTGCCCAAATTTTTGAGAGAAAAATAAGGATGTGCTTTATACATGGATAGTACTAATTCGCATTATACCTGGGAACTAGTACTAAAACAAGGGTGCATGCTATACAAGGCAAAATGCGGTAGTTTGAGTTAATTCCCTCTCTTGTACTTTAACAGCAGTTTTTCTTTTGGTCTCAGGGAATGTTTCAAATGACTGGCATAGTCCCCTGCCTACAACTTACCCAGACTCTTCATGAGGCAAGCCATGCCCAACTAAACCGAAGCCTCCGAGTTAGATACCAGGAAAGAGGTACAATAAAACTAGTCCATAACAACTCTAGTTTGTTTTCTGCTTGCTGGCACACTCAAGCTCTCTTAGTTTTGCCAGAGACATCTGGAAGCTTAGAACAGTGGGATAATGGGGATGCCCCGCAACCCACTGGGAAACCCGTTAGGCAAATGAAGGGGTAGAAATGCCTCTAGGGAGCTAGGAAGTTCCACTGTCTTTCTTTCCGCCGGTTATGCCACAGACAGATGGGGAATACACCCTCTATTCCCTCAGGATCCCTATTGGCATGTATTCTTAGAACAGGGAAAAATTTGACCCTGAAACTCTCAACAAAGAGAGGCTAATCTTTTGCAATATGGCCTGGCCTCAGTAGAACTAGAAGAGGGGGAAGTTTGGCCTGAAAATGGGAGTGACCATTCCAACACCACACTCCAGTAGGATGTGTTTGTAGAAGGCTGGGCAAATGGTCAGAGCATCCCTTTGTTCAAGCCTTCACGGCCCTGCATTGCAGTCCAGTCCCCGTTCTGGGCCAAGGGAGGCAGCCCCTTGAGGGGTCAACAATGGCATCCTAGATGACCCCCGTCTAAGTTCCCCACCAGTGTCTCGGGGGTGGGGGGACCAAGGAGGCCCCCGATCCGTGAAGACTCTGCTCCCACTGCAGAGGAATTAAGCCCTCCTCCCCGCTACTACCAGAAACCTGGTCCAGCAGGGCACACCTGGAGCAGAGCCTCGTGTCTCCCCACCAACCCTGCCCTTCTGCCCCAGAGGGAAGTAGCAAATGCAGAAGGTCCTATTCGGGTACATGTACGCTTTTCAATAACTGACCCGCAGCAGTGCAAAGATAGATTAGGAGACGTCTCCAAAGATCCCTCACACTTCATTAGTAACTTCCAAACCCCTTAACCCTTGCCGTTGGTATGTCCTGGAGAGAACTTTAAATAATCCTGACCACCTGTTGCTCTCCAGCAGAAGCAACAAATTTGGGAAGAGGCCTACAAACATACAGTCCAATTAAGGAAGGAATGAGCAGAGCCAGCGTGAGAAAGGTAGGGAGGAAAAAGCAAGCCAAACTAGTAGTGCCAGCTGTTAGCAGCGCAGTTGGCAATGTCCAGCCACCTCCGAGTAAGCCAGGGAAGCCGCAGAAACACCAAGGGCAAAAAGGATCAAACATGCTTTAAGTGTAAACACCCTGGACTCTGGGCAGGGGATTGCACTAGGCCACCCCCAGGGCCATGTCCCATGGGTAGAGGTAGACACTGCTTCCTGCCCAGGTAGACTGCCCCCATTCCCAGAGTGGAAAGCAGTCACACCTAAGGCCATGGCAGCCCTTGAGGACAGAGGCTGCTCAGCAACAGGTCAGCCCCAGCCTATACTAGTATTTTGATCTCTACAGAGTAACCCCGGGTAACCCTTGATGTGGCAGGTAAGAAAATTAATTTTCTAGTTGATACTGGGACCACTTACTGTGTTCTCAGTTCTTACGCTAGACCTCTCTCCTCTAATTCAATTAATATTATGGGGGTTGAAGAAAAATCTCGAACTTGTTTTTACACACCCTCTGTCACCTGTCAGTTTGAAAGCCTGATCATTCCACAATGTCCTATACTGTTGCTAGGAAGACCTCCAACTCCTGCTCAAGAAAAAGAAACCTTAAAGGCAAGTCAATATTAAAATCTTTCTGGCCCTGGCTGGTGTGGCTCAGTGGATTGAGTGCAGGCCTGTGAAACAAATGGTCGCCAGTTCAATTCCCAGCCAGGGCATATGCCTGGGTTGTGGGCCAGGTCCCCAGTGGGGGGTGCTCAAGAGGCAACCACATATTGATATTTCTCTCCCTCTCTCTATCCCTTCTCTAAAAATAAATCTTTTAAAAAAAAACCTTTTTTTTTTTTTTTTTTTTTTTTGCTACCATTCTGTACTTTTGCTGCTCCTTCTTGGGTCAATAACTCTTTTCCAAATTACCCAGGATTTTCTCTGGGGCAATACTTGTAACAATTGCTGGGTTGCCGTCACCAAAGATAACACAATGAGTCAGGAATATGCCTAACAGTACTTTGGGCCAAACAAACTAATCCTAATCTTCCTGTACACAAAACCTGAGCCTCAAGGTACTCTTGCCAGCCCAGGAACCTGAATGGACTTTTAAGTAGATTAGTTTTTGGTCCAGGAGGGTGGGGCTTGTTCTCTAGTTAATACTTCTTGAAACAAATGCTTGCAAAATATTACAGCAAGCAACGTGGCTAAAAAGATTGTATCCCAGGAACCCTGAAACTATCTGGGATAGCATTAAGGATATATTCCCTCAGTAACTTGGTTTATTATGATGATTCTAATCTCTAGCCCTTGCATCTTAATTTATATCTTCCATATAAACAGTTCCTCATCAAACAGTCCCACATCAGGATGATGAAGCTCCATGGTTTTCAACCAATCCCTAAGGAATCCGATGCCAACATCTTACAACACACAGTGTCTGTGTCGATCTCAGGAATTCCTCTCCAACCACTAGACAAGATACGGCAAAAGATTCATGGTTTTCAGCAGGCTGGGTCCAGTAGGAAGCAAATACAGAAAATTACCATCCTCCTAGAGCAACCCCAAAAAAGAATTTTTGAGAACCATGTCTTCCAGGGGGAAATTAAGGCGGGAATTAGAATAGGAAACCCTGAGACACTGCGGCTGTTGTCATATCCTGGTTCCTGAGAGTTGCCTGGTGACATTTGATAATAATTAGCACTGTAGTTTCCTCCACAAGCAGGCAACAAAGGAGGATCGTGGGAAATCCCATGTATAGAAGCTTAAGATAAAACCCTATAAACCTGTAGTCTGTTCAACAGAAGAGAGCCATTCCCTGACCAAGGTGGCCTGCTCCTGTGTCTTGGGAAGTGTACTCTCCTTAGTAAGTTTCTGCTTGCTTTGCTTTACAATATCTGCGTGGTCGGTCCAATTCTTTGCTCGCAACCACCAAGAACCCGGACCCCATCTCCATCTGCAGCACTTGTTCCTCCTCTAAAGGGGTCTGCCACATGACAAGTAACAATCCGGGGAAGAAAAGGTCATGGTAGGGTCTACACCACATGGCCAGCGGTATGAAAAGTCAGGGAGTATAAATTGCATGACCAGCAATATGCTAGGGGATATATGGACCAAAAGGGGCCATATATTAACCTGACAAGCTCAGGTTAATAGGACCTGAAAGGCAGCCTTAACAGACTCAGACCTAAAGTAACCACAAATGACAGTCCGAAATGAAAACTTACTAACTAAAAGCAGCTCATGGTGGGTATTCATGTCCTAGGCTAGTATTTTTCCCTAACAAATATCAGTCTTTACCTTAACTGAGCCTGTCTGTTGTCTTTTCGCATCTATGAGAACAGACCTTTGGAACGTCAAGGTAACTTCCCTTTTTCCAAACCCCTTGGGCACAATCTGAGACCACAAATCCCCTCATTCTTATTGTTATCAAGTTAATTGTTGACTGTTAGCTATCCTGTACCCACCTATGTAAAAGGTGTGTATGCCCGTCATTTTACTTTTTATCCAATCCCAGAGGATTCCCTGCTTTGCTTTCTCCCACCTCTATCACCAGTGGATTTCATATAACTCCCTTATGTCTCCTTTGATTGGAATATATAAAATAAGGTGCTAAACTGCCATTCTCTGGAGCATTTCTCAATTTGTTGCGATTTTGCTTCCCAGCAATTATCGTCAGCTTGGCTCAGATAAACTCACCAAACTTTTCTACAGATTGAAACGTTTGTTACGTTGACAGAGGAAAGGTCCTACCCTATGATTTAGGCGCCTGGGTCTTTCCACCCTGGTAACTTTTCGTGCCTGGCTCACTGTTCCTACCCTGCTCGCATCTGTCTAACCACCTACTATGTCAAATCCACAGCAAATGTAGAGTCAGAATGTGTTCATGAGGATGTATCAGCAACAACAAATTGAGGGAAAGCCTTTATATAATAGCTTCTATTCTTCTAATGATCACGGTAAAGAAAAAGACAGGCAGAGGATCTGTTCTAGATTAAAGGACACTACAGAAGCAACACCCTAATGCGGGGGGGGGGGGGGGGTGAAATTATAAAGGACATTATCAGAACAATGGATGGAATTTGAATACAAACTGTGGAGAGAGAGAAGGCAAGCATATGGGCTGCAATGTCAATAATTGGTTAATATGAGTAAAGGGTAAAAATCTTTTGATTAGGGAGAAACATAAATATAAATTCTTATAAGCCTGTTGGGAAGCATATGGCAATATACTGTATGCAAAACACTTAAAACCTAAAACTTGAATTTATCTTAATGAAATAATCAAACAAGTATACAAAGATATTTGTCCTAAGATGTTCATTGAAATGTTATTAATAATATTGAAACAGCCCTGACCAGTGTGTCTCAGTGGTTTGGGCATCGTTCTGCAAACTGAAAGGTCTCCAGTTAGATTCCCAGTCAGGGCATGTGCCTGGGTTGTGGGCCAGGTCCCTGGCTGAGGACGTGCAGGAGGCAGCCAACCGATGTTCCTCTCGCACATCGGTGTTTCTCTTCCCTTTCTCCCTCTCTTCCCCTCTCTCTAAAAATAAATAAAATCCTTAAAAATAATATTGAAACACTGGAAACAAAGTAAATATTCAGCAGCAGGAGATCAGTTTAAAAATTATACTATATACAAGGGATTACTATGTACCATTAGGCAGTTTGAGTCAGATATAGTTACTAAACTTACTGAAATCTAAAATACATAGAAATATAAGAGGTGTTGAAGGAAGAAGTGCAGGTTAAAGTCTACCCATAATACAAAGAAAAAGACTAGGTCCTCAAGAAAATGATTCTTTAAAAAAAAAAAAAAACCCACCCAAGAAATGCATATCTATGTACTTTAACATACGATGAGTCTGGGGGCGGGGGTCCCAGTGTTAGCATGACTGCAGCGCTGGGGCGCGCGCGGGCCTCGGTCCCTTTCCCCAGCCCGTGCTCCCTTTCTATCCCATCTTTCACTTTGTTTCTAAAGGACACTTGCAAACTGGACAAGGAAGCCTTTCAGAGCTGACATTTTCAGTAGAACGAAGACAAAAAGAAAGCCTCTAACAGCTGGGTTCTTCCCTGGCACATCGACATCTCCGTCCCTGGTGAGGCTGAGTGAACATTCCGTTGTGTCTAGGCCACAGTTTCTTTAGCCATTCGTTAGACCCCTGGGCTGTTCCTACTTTTTGGGGATCCTAAATAATGCTGCTATGAACACAGGTGTACACAGCTGCTCCTGTCCCTGCTTTTCAGGCTTTTGGGTCCAACTGAGGAGTGGTCACACCAAGTTTTAAGAGGATCAGGCCCAGGCAGCTTGGTGAGGCACAGGAGCTCGGCCCCGTTGCCGGAAACCCAGCACCGTGCCCCTTCATGCCCCACCTGCCCTCAAGGCATTTGCATTGTGACAACTCTTCGGCAAGTGTGGCAATCAAGTGAAACCTTTCTGGTTTGAACCATGTGGACGGATGGGAGACCAGCAGTGAAGGAGTCATTTAGAGATTCTCCCCAGTCCCCTTCCACTTACAGGAAGACCCCCGCCAAACCAAAAGGGCACTTTCAGTTTCTAGGATAAAATTTTACCTTCTTGAATCGTTTCACAGATTCTGACTGTTCCATAGGAAGCCCACGCTCACCTTAGGACTCTCAAGAGACACGGTTAGCACCTCCACAAGCCCAGGCTTGGACACTCACCATGAACACAACAGTGGCCAGCTCATACACCACGGACTGGGCTCCCAGCTCCACCATGCTGAGGATACCTGGGGGAGACACAGCCGGCGCCCTGCTTGCACACAGGGCCCCCCGACCCCAGCCGCCGCCCACCTGTCCCTGCACTGACCGCTCAGGAAGCTCCCGATCTCGTAGGCCCACCACTCGATGCACAGCATGAGCATGCTGGGGACGGCCAGGCGGAAGAAGGGGCCCCAGTCCTGCAGGCACTCCAGGGACCAGCCTGCAGGAGGACACAGACCCCGTCACAGCTCCGCGGCCGCCAGCCTGCCGCTCAACCCGAGGCAAAGCCGCATCCGCGGTGGAAACAAAAGGCAGCCTTTACCTCCCCAGGTAGCTTGATGCAGTTTCTTCCAGAAGATGTAGAGAAAGAGGAGCAGAGCCAGGGAGAACTGGGAAATCAAGTTGGCCAGTGCAGAACCCCTGGGAGGAACAGTCCAGCAAGGGAGGTGCCGTTCTCCCCGTCCCCGGCCTCGCTTAGCAAGGTGAGCGCCCGCCCCTCGCTGGCACCGCCCCTCCAACGCAGCGTTATTTCCCGGCCCAGCTGGTGGGCCAGAGTGGCCCGAGGAGGGGACCACACGGGTGCGCGGGGACCTGATAAAGGTCTCACTTTCTCCCACCTCCCTGGAGAAGCCACATGCATGTCATTCCTTCTCGGTCCCCAAAATTGGTTGGACTCACATCACACCAAGATGCAGCTGATGGAGAAACAGATAGTTGATGAGGACATTGACAAGGTTGGCTGCGACCCCGGTGACGATCTGGGGCAGAACGATTCCCTGCAACGAGGAGAGGCCAGCCCCTGGTGGGGACCCCGGAGACCTCCCGGGAGGGCTGTCTCCTACCCACCGCACGCGGGGCTGTCCTGACTGGGCGCCCCGGCCTTGCTGCCCCCGCCCTCCCACCCTCTCCGCCCCTCCGCTTCCTCCCCTCTCTGAGCCATGAGGGGTGAAGCTCCGGCCAGAGGGCAGCACGGGCAGGAGGCGAGAAGGCGGCAGAGAGGAGAGAAGACAAGTGGGCAGACGCCAGCAGGGGTTAAAAAGTGTAAACAAGCCTGTGGGTGAAAGAATAACACGTTCCTCAACCCAAACTGAAATTTGGAAACTTGACTGAAGAAGAGCTTATGAAACTGGAGTGTGGAGTGTATGCCATCATATCTGGCTGTACTCAGAAGTACAGGGGCTAAACACCCAGTCTTATTTGGTATCTCAAACTAAGACTTAAGGCGTGAGGGTTGCAATGGCACTGGATGTGGGAAGCAAACAGCTTTTACCTTGTCAGACAGACCCGAGCTGACAGCACAGCTCTCCCGAGCCTCACAGGCACGCTCTTACTCCCCGGGAGCTGCGGACAGCACGAGGCCAAGACCTGCTGTGCTCCAACCCCATCCTGCCAAAAGCAGTATTTCCAAGCGGGGGTCACATAAGAATTTCCAAAGCCAATAATAATGTGTCTTTTTAAAAAATCTTCACTCAAGGATGTTTATTGATTTGAGAGAGAGAGGACGGGGAAGAAGGAGAAACATTGGGTAAGAAAGAAACATCAATTGGTTGCCTTCCATACACGCCCTGACCGGGGATTGAACCCGCAGCCTCTTAGTGTACGGGGTGACCAACTGAGCCACCCGGTCAGGGAAAGGTGTCTTTTTTGGTTTTTTTTTAACATATCACTTCCCAAGCCGCTCCACACAAAAGGCCGGTGCGCACAACCTGGGGAAATGCGTGACAGTGGCCCTTGGCTCCCGGCCTCCCTGTCCTCTGAACACCTTCAGGGCCCCCAACCCCCGAAAGCTGCGAAAGCCGGTTAGCCCCACAAAGAAGAAAGCCAGCCTGCATTACCTGGGTGAACAGATATTTAACCTGTAGTGTATAAAGAAACGTCGCCTACAAGAGAACAACAGAGATGAGTGTTAGCATTTTGGCCCGGCCCTGCCAAGGTTGCCGAGACCCCGTTTCACTGCCCTTGGCCCCGGCAGGCGCCACGGAGGGGAGTCATTGAGAAGGCGATGAGGGTGGGGGCAGGGTGTGCACAGTAGGGGTGTCCCACCCCGGGGTCTGGGGGTGCATGTCCTTGGCTGCACACCAGAGGCCCTTCTGCAGGTAGCAGGCTGTAACGGCAGCCCCGGGCAAACTCCAGGGGCGCGCCTCCTTTGTAGACTAGGCTACATTCTCTTTGGTGATAATTAAAAGAATATTAAACTTTTTAAGGTCTCAGGGTAAATTAAAGGCCACAATACCAATAATAAGAGCAGATGGCTACTTTCAAGGGCTAAATTGTGCCCACCCACTCATACATTCAAGCCCTAACCCCCGACGTGACTGTATTTGGAGATAATAAAGTCTTTGAAGGTGGGATTAAGTTAAAATGAAGCCATTAGGATGGGTCCTAGTCCAGCTGGCCTGGTGTGCTCCTGAGCAGACGGGAGACGCGAAAGGCAGCTGCGTCAGCAAGTGAGAAGAAAGGCCTCAGAGGAAGCAAACCCTGTGGCCCGCTGGCCTTGGACTTTTGGCTTCCAAAACTATGAGAAAATAGATGGACTTCTGTGTTTAAGCCACCCAGTCTGCGGTATTTTGTTAGGGCAGCGCTGGCAAATGAAAAGTCCTTCACGTCTCAACTGCAGGGACGTGTTCAGAGAGGTGCCTCCTTAGGGGGCGCCATCCTTGCGAGCATCACAGAGCGCAATGACACACTCCGGGGCGGAGTGGCCCACCACACGCCCAGGCGACGTCGCAGAGCCTTGTGCTGTGTAGGGGAGGAAAAATCATTTCCCTCTAACCCTTTAGTGCCCTTGGCCGAGACATCCCTGTAGTAAAAGACAGATTAACAGGAGAAAAGCAAACTAACGTTTAGTAACATGTACACCTCTTGTACACATGGAAGGGACCCAAGAAAACTGAGTAACTCGCCAAAATGGCTGAGACCGCCACTTTAAATACCATCTTCAGCTGAAGACAGAAGAAGATACTGGGGAGGGGGGTCAATTACAGGAAGTGACCAGGAAAAGCACAGTTGCATGGGTCAGATTGTTGTGTGGCTTTAAGGCCTGTCTGTGGGACTGAGATAAGGTCACCCCTCCTCCCTCGTACAGCCAGGGAGACTCAGAGTGTCAGCGCATTTTACTAAGGGTAACTCCTACTTGGTTTTCAGAGCTTCTCCTTTGTCTGCTGGTGGCGGGGGGCGGGGGAGGTTGTCTGTTTTTTTTTTAAGTTAATCAGCTTAAAATAACCCTTATGCCAAAGAGACATGTTTGGGGCGACAGATTCTGTCCCCCCACAGCTCGTACGGTACAACCCTATACAGCACGTGACTGTGCTGACTGCTGCGTGCACCTGTGACGCAGGGGTTAGAGTGCGTGTACGGAGCCGCGCTGCAGCGCTGGGACAGCTTCAGCTTCACCAAGTGGTGAGAGCTTCTCAGCCTGTGGCGGCCCAGAGGAGGTCGCTGGCAGACAGGCCTCCGTGCTGTGCAGATTGTTTTGAGCTAAAGGCAATTTTAGCTTCAGGTTCAAGAGAAGCTCCGGCCCCTCCCTTTAACTACCTAAAGCTAGAATTACGGGCCTTCCCCATAATAAAGGGAAGACCTTTATTTAATAAATACCCACTCTTTTTATCATCCTGCAATGACTCTTGGGAGTCCCAAGACACTTCACCTCACCCCTAGCTCAGAACATCTTACATACCGAGGTCCCCCTTTCTGTCCCTGAGCCTCTCCTGCACGTGGGGTCTCTGGCTCTCTCCTGCATGTGGGGTCCCCATGCACATGTACTGCTGATGTAAAACATGTCAAAACCTGCAGAGAATTTTTATGAGTTTATTTGAGCCAAACTGACAATTGCCGGGAAGCAAAATCTCAACAGGTTGAGAAAATGCTCCAGAGAACGGCAATTTTGCTCCTTATCTTATATGACAGTCAAAGCAGGAGACATCAGGGAGTTACAGGAAATGCACTGGTGAGATCAGGGAGGCAGGAGAAAGCAAAGCAGGGAAGCCTCTGGCATTGGATAAAACGGGAAATGGACAGGCACGTACTTCTTTCACACCGGTGGGCGCAGGATAATTAACAATGAACATTTACAGAACACGGACAGTACGGTAGGTGGGAGAACAAGGTAACAACGAGGGGTCCTGTGGTCTCCTGCTCTCGAGGGAGGTTGTGCCCGAGGGGTCTGGAAGAAGGGAATTTTGCTGACATTCCAAAGTTCTGTTATTGTAGATGCAAATAGACAATAGGCTCAGTGAAGGTAAAGAGTGACCTTTGTCAGGGAGAACACTGGCCTAGGACATGACTACCCACCATGACTCGCTTTTAGTTGAAAAGTTTTAACTTCGGACCATCCTGTGTGGTCACTTCAGGTTCCTGAGTGTGTATGGCCACCCTGCTGGCCTCCCCTGAGCCTGTCAGGTTGAGTATGTGGCCCTTTTTTTGTCCACAGTATGTATTAAATTTGGTTATTTTCTCTGGCTAATATGTTTCATGTCTATTTCATTATTGGACCAGCCAGGAGACCCTTAAGGGTAAAGGAAAGTTCGTTCCTCCCCATAAAGCTCCATTATAATCTTAAGGGACCACCATCGTATATGTGATCTGTCCAAAATATCATCAAGCTGCACGTAACTGTCCAGCTACCATGTACAACTGAGTGGTATCAGCTCAGACTATTCGCTGACCATGCACCTCTGTGTCAAACACTAACACACACTTGTGGTTTTGTGTGATCATATTCAGCAAGCAAAAGAACAACAAACAAACAAACAAACAAACACCTCACATCTAAAGGTTCAGAGTGAGGCCTTCACGTGTTCTGAGATGTGGAAGGATTTAGCCCTACACTCAACAAGAGTCTGAGCCCCTCTCTGCAGATGACCCCAGGGGCTCCTCCAGCTGCAGGAGTTCGGGACAGTGGCCCCCTGGAGTCGCCTCGACCTCGGTGTTTCTCGAGGGACACGTTTGTGGCTTTCACGGGCATAATTAAAATGGCCCCTTGCCGAATGGGCCAACGCCACATGTGGGAATCACGTGAGGCTGGTCCGACCCGTTGAGCTCCCAGGCGCCTCAGCTGCCGGTCATCAGTGCGCCTCAAGAAGGGAACCGCTTAACCCTTGAGAACTTACAGGAAGAGCTGGGATGAAGATCATGACATAGGTATGGGTGAGCCTATACGATAAAGAGAAAAAAGGTGACGAAGGTCCTCATTTCAAGAGCAAGGAGGGCAGGATCAACCAGCTGTAACTGCCTGTCACATTCTTGACTCTTTCAAATTAATGGACTTAAGCTGCTGGAGCAAATGTGAAAATTTACAATAGCACTTGTCATCTTATAACCCAAATGACCTCTTTAGGTTCTTCCAAGGCTTTACGTCTAAGACAGCATTTTTCAAACCCGGCACCAAGCTGGTTAATTCTCTGCTGTGGGGCACTTTCCTGTGTGCCCTGAGATGGTCTGTGGCATCTCAGGCTTCCACCAGTACCAATGCCTCAGTATTGATAACCAGAAATGCCTGCCAACATTGCCCAATGTCCCCTGGGCTCAGAGCCTCTGGTCTAAGACAAGGATTTTAAAGGTCTTTATCAACTAAACCAGAGGGTCTCAAACTGGGCAGCATATTAGAAGCATCCGGGTGACCTCTGAAAGACACTGATGCCAAGGCCGCACCCCAGACCAATTACAACAGAGTGTTGGGAAGGAGGGAGGGCCAGGCGGGCGTGGGTTTTAAAAGCACCTAAGTGATTTTAATACAACCTGGCTCAATAATCACAAAACCACAAATCACCCCCACAAACGATCATCTCACGTGGAGGGTGTTTGCAAATCTTATTTCTCTCAAAACTATTTATCCTGAAGTCACCCGGGAGAAGAGGGGCATGGACCAAGGTGCCCAGCGGGGAAAGCACCACGGCCTGGCAGGAGTCAGCTGAGGACAGCTCAGTCCCGGTGGGGGGTGGCCTTCTCCCTGGCCTTAGTAATTCCCAGAGGCTGTACTTGTAGGGGAGCCCCTCTCTGCTGAAATGGCCCCCACCCCGCCCTGGCAGGGCCCATCTTACCTGGACACGTCCGGGTCCTGCCCGAGGAGCCGCAGGATGTGCTGGGTGTTGAGGAAGAGTGCCCAGCAGGGGAAGCAGCAGAGAAGTAGGACAAGCGCGCCCCTCTGCAGGATGACGCCCACATGCTTCTTGTTGGGGCTGCCGTAGGTCTGGGTGCACACAGCCAAAACGAACCCATTAGTACAGAATCGGCACCCCACTGTCCCCCAAAGGCCTTAGAGCTCGCCTCACAAAGAGACGAATGGTCCTAAAGACTGTGCTGCATCCTGTCAGTGGTGGTGGTTCTTAAACCTCGCTTTCTGTAAGAATCGCCTGGGAATGTTTTTAAAATGCTGATGCCAGGGTCCCGCTAAAGCTGGTCTGGATTTCACTGGGTGGAGGGGGACGGGGTACAAATGTCAGTTATTTTTCAAAGCTCTCCATGTGATTCTAATGTACAGTTAGGGGTTACATCGCCAGGAAACTTGTTAGAAATATGGCCCTGGCTGGTGTGGTTCAGTGGATTGAGCACTGGCCTTTGAACCAAAGGGTCATGGGTTTGATTCCCAGTGCAGGGCACGTGCCTGGGTTGCAGACCTGGTCCCTTGTAGGGGGCATGCAATGTGCAACTGCACTTTGATGTTTCTCTCCCTCTCTTTCTCCCTTCCTTCCTTTCTCTAAAAATAAATAAATACAATCTTAAAAAAGAAAATGAAATACAGTACCTAAGGCATGGTAGAGCCACATTGGCTTACTAAAGCCAAACTGTGCACGTCTCTTCCCAGGTCCCTGTTTGGTAACATATGTGTGGTAGCGAGAAATTAGCTACAGAGCTACAGAGAGAGCCATTATATCACTAGAGTCAGCCAACAGTACAAGTCAACCACTCCCTCCCTGTGGAGGGGAGACTATTCCTTGACATGATGGCTGCCTGACTGCTGCCCCACCCACCACCAGCTAGATCCTGGCCATACAGAGATGGCTTCCTGATAATTCCCCCAGAGGAGACTGTCTACTCAAGCCCTCCCTGTTCCCCAGGCATGCTGGTTCTTGGAGCAGACTGTTGCCCTGCGTCAGGCAAGCACGCAAGGCATTTCCCTTACCTGGGGTGGGTTGCACCCCATCCACCCTGTCCTGTCTTACTGGGCCCCTTGGCACCTGTCATGCAGTGTGGACAATATCCACATTATTGGACTACTGTGCAAGACACTCCTCCTTCATAAGTTCCCTTAATAAGCTCTCGATGCAATAATGGAATTCTCATTCCTTTCTTTGGTCTCTCAGCCCTAGGAAATTTTACATATAAACATTGGTGAGCCAACCAGGAGACCTAAGAAATGGGCCTTGGGAGAGAGGCATCCACAGGGCAAATCCCAGGTCAGCCATGACCTCCATGGGGGGAAGGGTGGCCAATATGCTAGGCCTGTGGACTGACATGGGAGTACAGGGATGCCCCCAAAATGCCAGCTGATCTTATGCATTTGTTTGAAGAAGTTTGCTTTACATACTATGACAAGGAAGGAAAACACATGGCCACAGCTGAGGGCTGACCCCTCTCATGGGCAGTTTGACTGACCACAGACACCCAGCAGGAGGCAGAAGCCAGGGTTAGAAGACTAGAGGATGAACTAAAACTAGAAAAAGATAATAAAATAATGCCTACAACTCTGTTCACTGGGACTGGATGATAAAGTTTAGGGGGAAGAAAAGGTCTCTTTAGATCCCATTTCTTTTTTTTTAATCCTCACCTGATGACATATTTATTGATTTTGAGAGAGAGAGAAAGTTGTAAGAGAGAAACATCAATTGGTTGCCTCTCATATGCACCCCAACCAGGGATTGAACTCACAACTTGTGTATGTGTCCTGACTGAGGATCAAACCCACAACCTTTTCATATATGGGACGATGCTCCAACCAACTGAGCAACACAGCCAGGGCAGATCTCACTTCTTTTATGCGGCCCACGAGGTCTCTGCTTGTGTCTGTTTGTATGTTCACATGTGTCTATACATGTGTTACAGATATGTGGTATTTTTACCTCTGTATCATATTGCTAATGTGTAAATGAGCTGTGTTTAATTGGCTTAAAAAACAAACAAGCACTTGTTTGGACCGGCTACTCTGAGAAAATTTTGAGAAATGCAGAAACCAACCCAAATGCTTTTTGGGTTCACATGATATAAGATTAATCTTTAGTAAATAAAAAGCTAGCTTAAGTTTGTTGGCTTATGTAGAAGAGACATGCCTAAGAGTTATCAAAGGATTATGAATTCTAATTAAAATGAAAGGAAAATAATATACACTTTCAGTTAAAGAAGGAAAAGGTATAAGAATATATTTTTGAGAGAAAGGAAAGTAATTTTGTCCTAAAGCAAGGCTGGTTGTTTCAGAATGGAAAGAAGAAAAATGGGGGGAAATCTGAATATTAAAAAGGAGAGTTATACAATAGAACGCTTGTAAAAATTAATCTTCAGGAAAGAAATTCTGTGTGGTCAAGCTGAATTAATCAAGTACATGAATTTAAATATCAAGAGTAATCCGATGCAAAATTAGATTTTTTCTTGAAACAGCTCTGAGGTATTCTAGAGGCCCCTGGAATGCCTAAAAAGATTTGTTTTCTCTCCTTATAAAAGAAAAATATTAAACTAGGCTTACCTGGTATGGTGAAATTACATGGGAAATATTGCCAAATAAATAATAACCTTGAGCCTTCTTTATGTTGAATTTGTGTATGTTATCAGTGTTCCAGAAATTTGGTGGAATTCCTGGAAATCTGAGCTACCCTGGCACAAGATGTCTGTCATCAAAATTGAGGGTCACACTAAAAAGACTGGACCTGAATATCACGCTGCGGCACATGTGGATGAAGCCTGTTCTGTTTCTGCAGAAACGGCCCCTCGGTGCCAGACTTCGCCGCCCTGAAGTCCTGGTCACACGGCAGCAGCCTGCTCCCGAACCAGAGGCAGGAAGGTGGGAAAGCAACGGCTGTAAATTAAATGAAGAGTTGGGGCTGCGGGAAGCCCCGACGGCTGCTTTGTTCTCTGGGCTCCCTGGCAAGCCCCATGTTTCATGCTTTGCTTTCCTTCATGCCTCCTAATGCATTTAAACTGGGCTTCATTCAACTGCCAGTGAGGATGGGCGATCAACATGTCCTTGCTGCGTGTGTATCTTCTGGATGGGTGGAAGCTGTCACCTGCCACAAGGCTCATGCCCTCAGAGTTATTAAAAACAATGGTCAGAAACTGTGTTTCCCACTAGCGTGCCTCCGAATGCTCCCTGAAGGCTATTCACATCGCCCCACCATACGCCATGGGGTGGTGACTTGGGACCTGTCGCTGTGTCCCTTTGCAACCTCTGTGGAATGACATAAATATTAACCCACGAGACTCGCCTCCACTGTAGAAAACCTCGCGGGCTTTCCTGGGCCACCGACAACACAGCGAGTCCACAGAGCATTCAAGACTTGGGCACTGCAATAAAGTTCTAGGGAACCAAATCTTGTGGTTGGGTAAGGCCTGCTTTGTTCCCAGGGCTCTCATGGACAACATACAAACCTATCCAGGACCAAAAAATGTGAAGGAGGTAGTCTTTTATGGGAATTCTGGGGCTATTGGTGAAGTTTATACCTTGTTTGGTGCAACGCCTTTGCCCATGATAATGCCTGGTTAAGAAAGGACATATATGGGACAGGGGACAGAACAGGCTGTCTTTAGGAGAGTAAAAATGCTGGACAAATGGGTTAGTTCCAGGGATCTCACAGGTGGGGTTGCTGTTTGAATTGGATGTTTAAGTCATCCTGGGAGCCACAAGCTGGACATTGTGGCAAAAAGAAAGAGTGCCCCTTGTCCCAACTGTGGGAGAAGGCAGAGATGAGACACACCCTGGTGGAAAGCCAACTACCGTTAAGAACTTCCCTTCCCATGAAGGGGTGGGTCACCAACACGTCCCATGGACCCACCTCTGCCACAGCTCAGTGTCCTACACCGAGGCAACGCACAGCCACTTGCAACAGGGGGCCTCTGTCAGCCAGCCCTGCCTCTAGGGGTTCGGCAGCTACGGGATCCTGCTGAACGTACAGAGCCTCCAAATGCTCATACGCCCATCCCTGTCTCAGCCCTGGTGACCTGCAAAAGAGGAGGGAAAGGCCGGCTGGAGCCCGATGGCTCCAACGGGCAATCTGCCTGCTCGGATGCTGACCACGCAGTGGCCCACTGACGCTATCTGCATGCAAACAGGAAAAACCAGCGGGCCGAGTCGGGAGTGGTTTGTTGGTAATCACACAGGAACCTGGCCACTGACCCTGGTACTGACCGTTGGTCTGCTCTGAAAGGACTGACTCTGTGGCTTTGACAATGATAGGCAGAGGAGTGGACAGTCGTGAGCAAACCTGTACAGGGACAAGAGATGTGGAAAGTTATTGGGCTCGCTGGCAAAAGCCAAAGGCAGGCTTTACCGTCTCCGCTGTCCCTCCCACAGGTGTCCACACTCCCAGGGAACCAGACAGCAGACACTTTGACAAAAAGTCATGCCTTAGCAACTGGCCCATCAATGGACTCTGCAAATAGGGTACATTGGAAAAGTGGATGCCCTCATGCCCAAGCAGGATGGCACATAGCTAAGGAGGAGAGGCTGCGGCTTAAACTAAGGGCGGCGGCTCTGTGGTCAGCAAAGGCTCCGGCTCAACTCTTTCTACTCACCGCAGTGCCCAATGGGTAAGGGACCGGCAAATTGATTACATTGGCCTCTCCCCTTGAGTAAAGGCTCTGGTGTGTGCCCACACTGAATGTGGTTTAACTCAGGCCTCCCCACGCCAGCAGGTTAGTCAGGCTGCTACCATAAAGGGACTAGAAAAATCTAAGTACTGTGTATGGGTACCCCCGTCAAATAGATACTGACTGGCAGGGGGGTCACATTTCAAAGGACATGTTTTACAAGAAGGGGCGGAAGAACACGATGACGAATGGAGGTTCCCCGCCCCTGTAACGCACAAGCAGCTGGGCGAACAGGACAGAAAAATGGCGTCCCGCAGCCACATGTGAAATTACTGGCTGGAAAGCCAACCTTAGCCAGGCGCATAGAGGGGCTTTCCCAGGCATTAACACATTTAAGTGACCAACTCATGGGGCCTATTGCCCCATAGGCCAGATTAGGGACTCAGACTGAGGCACCCACGTAGCAGAGGTGAGAAAACTAAGGGCACAAAAATGACGGGGGTGCTTGCCATGGCTCAGTGGGCCATGCTAGCGAGGGCACCAAGACCTACGGTCCCTGGAACAGGGGCTGTTACTGGAATCTGCAAAGGGACATTCTGCTGGGGTGGGTCAGTTACTTCACGTCCCTGGACGGGGAGGAACTTAGTCTCCTGCAGGACCCTGTCATCCTGATACCCACAGAGACATGCCCTCTGTGGACTGATACACACACCGTTGAAAGTGGGGAGCAGGGAGGGGTCCCAGTCTAGCATATTCCTCTGCCTATTCACCTCCTTGTCCCAGAAAGCACCACCTCCCCCCGCCAACATGCACGGTTACACAGCCTGGCCACGTTCCCAAGGCCATGGCCACATTAACATCCAAAGACCAGGCTACAAACATCATACCCATAGATGATGACCTCCCAGTTCAAGTCCCTACTAAATGCTGGTCTTTCCGACCTTAGATTCCTGCTGCTCCTGTGACATCCAATAGTTACGGGAGGGAGGGGCACCCAGCCCAATGTTGTGTCTTTTATACCAAATGAATCTGAGGCAGGAGATAGTCAGGAAGGAGGAAACTCTGGAGGTGCCCCAGGGCTAAGATAAAAGACATCCATACAGGACAGAGACCCTGTTCAAAGACCAGCTGTTCCTACTTTCTGGAAAAACGATGAATCATGGTGAATCCTGAATGCACCTGCGCAGAAGGTGCTACATGACCTCTGCTTCATTATAATAGCATTATAATTAATTAGCATTATGGGACCTCCTTCCCCAGTGGCCAATCAAAGAACAAAGAAAATCATGGGAGACCACATGCGCAGTTGCTTTAAAGTAATATAAATACTTGTACATGTGCAACAAAACCCCGCCAAAACTAGCCAAGAAGTATCCGCCCTATAAGAAGAGAATCCCTCCGGCCCTTGAGGTCACCCTCTGCTCAGAGCTGGCCCGCTCCCGTCCTGTAGAGTGTAGTATCATTTAATAAACCTGAGCGCTCTCTCTGCTATAAACTCTCTGTGTGTTCAATTCAATTCTTTGTCTGTCATCACCAAGAACCTGGTTACCTGTGTCCACCTGTGACAAATCTGCTACTATTTCTTCTTTGTTAACACATACAAAAGCTCAAATGAATGCCCAAAGTGACCCAACTCCAAGTCTAGGTGACCTCGCACTCAGATTGGATCCTGAGGGGCATGATGGAAAACACTCTTGTTGATACTTGGATTCCTTCTTTCAATTCTTTCTTTTTCTTGTATGTGTTTATATTGTTGCCGTGGACTGTGTCCCTAATGTGCCCAACTGGGGACTAAGCAAGCTACGTCTCTGCTAATGAAGCCCCTGCTGATCACTCAGGGTACCTCAGGGGCGAGGGGGCGAGGGGGACGCAGAACATTGTACGAGCTGGTCAGGAGGGGGGATGTGGCGAGAGACTATTCCATGACATGTGTCCCCTAAGTCCCCTCAGGGACTGTCTGGCCTGGCCCCTCCCCTGTGCTCCATAGGCTTCTGGTTGGTGCTGGTTCCTAGAACAGGCCTCGCCCCGCCTGGGGCGGGTCTCACCGCGGTGCCCCATCGATCCTGCCCTGCCCCATATGTCCCCTTTGTGCCGGCCACGTGGTGCAGAGGACATCCATGTGGTCCTGCTAGGCACCCAGACACGCCTCCCTTGTAAGTTCCTTCATAAGCTCCAGAAGCGGTCATGGGGCTGTCAGCCTCTTTCTCTGGGCTCTCGTTCCAAGACCTGGTCACTCTGGATTTGCCAGCATGCCCTGGGGGGAGCCCGCCCACCTGTGCCTCAACAAGCCCCCAGGGGATTCGGATGAACGCTACAGTCTGAGAACCACAGACTACCCCAAACTCAATACTGTGGGAAGTGACAGAAGGGACTTTTACAAAATGTTCCCTCTGTGGTCAGAATGCAGTGTAAGGGGGGCATGCGGATACACTGCTTCCACAGGCCCGAGACAGGCGCCCGGCCGCACTGCAGAGACAGCAGCAAGGAGAGCGGGCCTGCTAGCTGGCCAGGTGCCACAGGGTTTGCTGTCGGGGATTTTGTCCCTCTGGGCACAGGCCAGCTCCTGCCGGTGGGGTTCTTCCAGATGCACTCAGGAGAACTCTCTAGGTCACTGTGAGGGTGACCGGCAGCTTCTATTTACCTGAGACATGAGGGTGTCACAAGCAGAAGATAAGCCAAATCCCACGGAGATACCTGTGACATTGATAACCTGGAAAAAAGTGCAAAGGAGAGGCCACTTAGAGTTCAAGGAAGGCCTGGGGGCAAGTTCTGCGTGCGTGGGTCAGGTGCCTCTGCAGCCCTGTCACCTTAATCAACTCTGTCCTCAGCCGGGAGCCCCGCCCAAATCCACCGCCGGCTGAACTGCAGGACTTGCACAAGTTTCAAGAGGGAAGAAGCGCAAAGCCAGAGGTTATCACTCAGCCTTTTTCTTTTTAAAATCCTAAGCATTTTGCTCCCTCATTTCAGAGGAACGCAAAGCCTTCCTAAGGGGCAGGTGGCGTGGCGCAATGGCAGTTTGGGGCAGGCACCCTTGCTCAGGACCAGGCACAGCTTGTTGGAATAACCTGAAGGACTCTGGGAGCACAGAAGCAAGTCTCCGAGGTCCAGGCCGTGCCAGAGGCCCTCCAGGTATACCTGTCTTGACCATATCAGCAACAAAATCCTGGGGTTCCTGGAGCCTTGGGGGGCCCAAGGCTGTAACCCCCAAATCAGGGAGTGGTGTGGCAGGACACCTGACGCTCTCCTTGCCTGGCACCTGCCACCGCCGCCTGCATCTGCAGGGAGAGGCCCAGGGCGACAGCCCCCACCAAGCCCAGCCGAGAGGCGCCAGCTTTCTTGCGCTTCCTTGACCAAGAGACCCTACCAGAGGGGGGCTGAGTGCCTTTCTGTCTTCCCCCAAACTTCCAAACATGAAAAACAAAAAGGACACTTAAGCCTGGGGTTGTCCGTGTTGCCCCCTAAAAGCAGAATCATCTGCCTGTGCCTGGGGACCAGTTCCGAGCAGCAGAGCACGGTTCACAGAAAACAACTCCGACGGCTGGGAGAGCCGGCAGGTGAGCGGGGCCTGGCCGGGGCAGGGGCAGAGCGGAGGGGCACGCGGAGCGCACTGGCTGAGAGCCCCCGAGGCCACGACTCCAAGAACACCTCGCTAGCCGAGCATAGCCAGGCGAGCCCCGGCGCGGGTCAATGGCATCTCTCTGGTTTGGGGGGATTTGCACATAAGATCCAGAGAGGAATTGGGGTTCTTTCTGACTTGGGCTTAGACATTAGCGTACAGGATTTCACCTTCCAGCTCTGATTCTAGAGCAGGACCCTCAGTGAGACAGACAAGTCACTGGGCGGCGGTGGAGGTCGCAGCTCCCTCTGATGTCAGTGCTGAACCCTGTCTTTCAATTCCCTTCTCCCAGGTGTGGGACCAAGCTGATGTGGCACGGAGTAATGGCCCCTCCAAGATGTGCCTGTCCTAACCCCCAGAGCGTGGGGCCACGTGACGTCGTAGGGCCCAGGAGAGTGAAGGTTGCGGCCCTGCCAACTGGATCTCAGTTGGCTCCGCGAAGCCCCCTGCAGACTTCGGACCCCAGCGCTGCACGGCACTCCACCGGCGCTGCTTTAAGCTACTGAGCTGCGGTGGTTCTGAACAGCAGCAAGAGGGAACTAACACAGCAGCAGTCACGCCCGATGTGGACGGGTAAGGGCGGCCCTGTACGCACTGCGATCGCGAGGGTGACAGCATCCAGTTCCAGCTTTCCCAGGTGGCCACAGAACACGGAGCTTATGAAGCTGATCAGGAACACCATCAGCTGGGCCAAGAACTGGGGAGAGACCAGAGACGAAAGTTAGGTTTGGGTGCCAACCACCCACCACCATCGAAGGAGAGGGGTGCGGTTCCCGGGGCACCCCCACCCTCTCTGAATCAACCCCAGTCAGAAGTTAAGAAGCTTCTAGTGAGCTCTGCCAAACATTAGAAAGCTCACCTGTAACTGCTATCAGAAAATCACATTGTTAAAAGCTTCCTAGCTGTTTACACTTATTTTTCACGTTAGATTCTGAAACTTTCAGAAGCTGCCTCCTGAGACACACCCCTTGCTCTCCCAGATTCACAGTGAAGACAGGAGTTCGGCCTCCAAGGGCCAGAGAGGAAGCCCACAGCCGGGGCAGCTGAGGCAGCAATAACACCGTCCAGCCGGAAGGCCGGCGGGATCTGGAACCCTGGGGTGGACCGTCACCTGCCTGCGGGGCCCCACTGATTCTCGGACTCTGTGAGGCCTCAGGTATGAAAGCAAATTCAGCTTCTGGAACATTAAGCTATTCTTCCTCGCTGTTCCAGGAACCACTCTGAATTGCTCTCTAATGCTTTCACTGCAGGTCTGGTCTGGACAGTTAACTTATTTTTAATACTTATTTATTTTTGGAGAGGGGGTAGGGAGAAAGAAGGAGAGAAACAGTGATCGGTTGCCTCTCGCATGCCCCCTACCGGGGACCTGGACAGCAACCCAAACATGTGCCCTGACTGGGAATGAAACTGGCAACGCTTTGGTTACTAGGCCGGCACTCAATCCACTGAGCCACACCAGCCAGGGCTAAAGCAGTTCATTTAAAACCACCTCCCTTCTCCTCTGAGCCCCCACCTCCACCCCTCGCCCTGACCTAATCAGTCCAGCACATCGTAGGAAAGCCTCTCTCCTGCGAGGCTCCTGTGGTCCAAGGGGCACATCCCTCGCACTCTCCTGGCTCCCGAGGAAAGGGAACAGGTAGGTGCCTCAGGATTCACTGCTGCTGCTACTGCTGCAGCGCCGCTTCTCAGGAAACAGACTGCTTGGTTCTGAGCTCAGGCAAGACTCGGTCTTTTCTTGGGTTCCCAATGGCAACGGCTAGTCCTCACCTCCATCAGCCCCCGCACAACCAACGTGACAGCGGGTCCAAATTTTTGATGTAGGGGTCTAATGAGGTTCCTGCCCCTAATGCTTCAGATGGCAGCTCTCTTTCCTTCCCAGAATCCACATCTGGGGAAGGAGTTTTCAGCTCCGCTGATGGACCCAGGTCTTAAGACATGAGAGACCTACTTGGAACCGCGTGGTGGGGGTAGCCTACCTTTTCTGCACTGACTCCAGCCAACCACGACCAAGGCACTTTCTCCCTACAGTGTGACTCAAGCCTCCAACAAAGCCTCCTGCTACTCAGTGCAAGGGATGCCTGCGGAATGCACTGCCAAAGTAAGCCCGAAGGAGGCAGTAGACAAGGGGCACCGAAGAGCAGGGGCAGGCGTGTAAATAAGAACGGCTGGTAGGAAAAGCCCAGCTCTGTAGAATCTAAAGCTAGAGCCAATGGCCCCGTGGGCCTGCACCAGGAGGCCATGCTAACAGACATCCTGTGGTTTCAGTCAATGGAGCCTGGTGTCTCTTTGACCGAGTTTATACAAGTTGAAAGGTCACAGGGTCCTTCCTTTTTTGTAAACTCAGCACCACTTTCCAATCTTTCCAGGTACGTGTCCCTTACACCTTCACGCGCACGGACCACCGCAGTCGGCTGTGTCATGGAATCTGCTCTCCTCACTCTGCAGAGCATGGCATGTCCACTGCACAGTGCCCTGGGTCCTGGCAGGCCACACGTCAGCTTTTTCATGGCTTCCCATGAAAACATGCTCCGCCTCCTCTACAGACAGGCCTTTGGGCGGCTCCCCAGATTTTGATATTACAAATTGTACTGCATGAAACATACCCCCTTGGGTGGAGAATGGGCATTTTCTCCGGGTGAATGCCCAGTGCAAGGCATACAGTCATGTGCTGGTTGCATGACATTCGGATGATAAAGGTTATGACCGAGACAGTAGATGACCGTGGTCGTGGGAGGGGCCATCATGAGAATCCCGCAGGAAGAACTCTGCTCACGGTAAAGCTCTGTGGTGGGAAGCGTCTGCCCCTTTGCTTCCTTTCCCTTCCATTCGCAGTGCATGCGCACTTCTCCACCTTGGCACACCCAGCAGCATGTGCACATGGCTTGGAACGTCTGCATGCACTGGCTGCAAGCTTTTTCCTCTTTTTCCATTGTATGAAGCCATCACTTATAACTCAATCCACAGAGCGTCTGCAGTAATGAACTTCCCTGTTGCACACATTTCTTTGCACACTTGGGGGAAGATACCCTTAAAGAGAAATTCCTAGAAGAGTAATTGTTGTCAAAGGGTATATGTATTTCAAGTTTTCATAGATAGTGCTAAAGTGTGTGTTTGCATAGAGACGGTTTGGGTAGGGAGGGAAATTTAATCCAGCCTTTGCATCCTGATTTCAAGGCCTCTTCAAACTTGAGAAGTATGTTGCTGGGGTACACATGACAGCGCTCTTGCTTTTGTGGAGGTCAGAAATGTAACAAAATCAGCAGCAGCTCACCAGAAGCCTCGCAGGCCAGAGGAGCGAGCTTGGGCTGACTTCCCGGGCCGGGGGAGCGAGCCCATACGGCGCTGCCCGGCCGATGGCAGAGCTGGCAGCTGGTGAGGGCTCCCTCAGCACCGGCTTCTCACAGAGGGCGGGCCCGGTGAGCCACACAACTGTCCTCAAACAAATCCCCGGGGCCTGGCTCAGGCAGGGACTCAGGCTGAGGCCGGGAGTGCGGCTGTGAAGCAAATGTGGAGAGCAGACCTGGAGCCTGAGGGAGGGGAACACAGGCCCCGGGCCTCCACCACAGCAAACCCGGACTCCTCTCCTGGGGCCCTGCTGACCCCCCCTGCAGCTTGTGTGCTCCTGGAAGGGGAAGCAGAAGCCCGAAGGGTCATGTGCCTCAGCCACTCAAGTGGTTTGGGGCTCCACCTCCAATTAGTCAATTCAGGCTCCTGGACTAATCCTGGATCTATCGCTACCTTTCTCTTTTTCCCCAATTAAACCTCTTTTGGCAATGAAACTCCTAATCAGTATTATTTTTCAGTTGACAAGGTCAATGGTGAACCTAATACATGCGATGGTGGTTCCATAAGGTTATAATGGAGCTGAAAAATTCTATCACCCAGTGACCTTCCAGCTGTCAGGAGCAAGGGAGCGTCTGTTCCCCACAAGCAGTCACTCACACATGGTTGTGTCTTCCTGGGACAGGCCAGTCAGGACAAGTGGAACAGGGAAACTGAGATGGATAGTGAAACAGCCATCTAGTAAATCACAAAATTCTATCTTCCCCAGCCAACAACACCTAAGGGTAAAGGGTTTACACTTCTCCACCCCAGCCAGAGGGCAAGCAGCTTACACCGCCCTGCTCAGGGAGACTGATGCAGAAAAGCAGTCAGTGCCGTTTGTGCCAGCCACTCCCAGGGACGGATGAAGTCAGGGGAATAAGTCTCATTTGGACACATCGGCTGAGCATTCTGTTGAGATCCTCCCCGGAACTCCCAGCCTTTAGAAACCCTCAAGAGGAAGGACCCAGAGCTCTCTCCCATCCCTCCTTCTCCCCCAACCCCACCCGCACGATACCTTTATCTTTTTCCTTTCTAAGCTCCAAGGACCTTCTTTTGCCTCTCTTAACATGTTTCCTGAGCCCATTTCTGCCAAGCGACCTTCTTTTGCCTCTGTAACGTTCTAAATTCTTTCTCTGCTGGAACTATCAACAGAAGAAACATTCACACCAGTAGAGAGTTTTTGGTGAGTTTATTTGAGCCAAACTGACAACAATTGTCAGGAAGCAGCATGTCTATGGTTTGAGAAATGCTCTGGAGAATGGCTTAGCCCCTTACTTTATACATTAGAATCAGAGGAGCCATAAGGTTACGTGAAGTCCTTTAGTGAAAGATTGGGGGGGGAGCAAAGAGGGGGCATCTCTGGGATTAGATAGAAGGTAAAATGACAGACAGACCTCTTTACCAAGGTGGGCACAGGACAGTTAACAGTCAATGATCACCATCACAATAACAACACGGGGATTTGTGGTCTCAGCAGGTGGGTCGGGGGGGTGGGGGGCTTTGAGTTGGGGGAGGGAGGTCACCCTGACATTCCTAAGGTCTGTTTTCATAGATGCAAAAAGACAACAGACAGGCTCAGTGAAGGTAAAGATTGACCTTTGTTAGGAAAAAATACTGGCCTAGGACATGACTACCCGCCATGAACTGCTTTTAGTGAATAAGTTTTAATCTCAGACTATCCTGTGGGGTTACTTTAGGTCACTGAGTTTGTACAGCTGTCACACAGGCCTCCCTGAGCTTATCAGGCTGAGTATGTGGCCCCTTTTCTCCCACACGTCCTCCCCTCGGTCATAAGTCAACCCAAAGGATGCACTGATGACCAACCGTTTGGCCGGATAACCGGGTCCCACACACTAGCAAGGCTCGGAGTCAGCGTGTGCCTTGCTGAACAGGGCAGACGCTGGAGACTGGGGAAGACCACAAACTCCGATGGCATTCAAGGTGGAATTATTATTATTATTATTATTATTATTATTCTAAAAATAGGCAGGAGAATGGGAGGTAGTCAGATCCTCTATGTCCTCGGTCAAAATATTCTGGATCATTTCTAAGTTTTGAGCTACCATGATCCAAGCCTTTTTGCTGCCTGTCTTAAATTTTGTTTTTCTGCATCTAGTATGACATTCACACAGGAGCAACCGTATTAAACCAGGGACACCGATTAGGAACAGAAAACATCTAAGACCAGACAAGGAAGCGTCTGAGGGGAACAAGCATCCTGGCCAACCAAAAAGCCTGGTACATGCATCATCACAGTATTTTATTAAGCTCATAATATGTTTTCCTCCTCTCTCCACTGTCATTTGTACCTTTGAAATCTTTGGCCAGATGAATTAAGGCTTTCTGCTATCTCAATATCCAGAAGCTCTAATT